ATTGACAGCCGAATGTCAGCTGCTCAAGAATATCCAAGTTCCTCGTTTGCCGCCACCAATGTTCATGCTGTCACTCGGACGAAGCCGATCTCGCTACAGAAGTTCCAAGATCCCCCACCCAGAAAACAACCATCGGCGTGCTGGCCTTGTGGTGACTGGCATTCTTCTAGCTTCTGCCCATTCAAGAGGCATATTTGTCCTAAATGCTATAAACGAGTGCATAAGAAAGACCACTGCCCGGAAGGCCAACTCCTTAAATCAAGGGCAGGCGACAGGAAGGGGACAAGTTCCTAACGCCCTTCATCTTTCTCTGACCTAAAACGAATGAACTGGCGAAAAATCTGACGCTGACTCTACAGACGAAGTTTGCTCCAGTTTTTCAAGACGGTCTTGGCTGCTGCAACAAGATGAAAGTCGCTCTTCGTCTTCCACCAAACGCAAAATCTGTTTTCCGACCAAAAAGGCCGGTTTCTTACGCTGCGCTTACAGTGGTGGACCAAGAACTTGATCGTCTTCAACGAGATGGCGTTCTTCACCAGTCAAGTACTCAGCATGGACCGCACCATTCGTGGCTGTCAAGACAGCCCCAGGTAAAGTCCGCGTCTGTGCTGATTTTTCTACTGGTCGCAACGCTGCTTCGGACACACGTCAGTATCCTTTGCCCGCGGCGGAAGATCTTTTTCCTAAGCTGAATGGCGGAACTTGTTTCGCTAAGCTTGAGCTATCCGATGCATACCTGAAATCAAAGTGGACGAAGGTTCCCTGGAGCTTGTCACAATTAACACTCATCCTTATCTCTTCCAGTACATCCGTCCGCCAACTGGTGTTAAGACTGCTCCCGTGATCTTCCTGGAAACCATGCCGACGGGCACCGAAGGTGCCGCTGCTTATCTGGATGATATCGTCGCCGCTGGGTCAACTCCAGATTAACTGTTGCAACACCTTCCACATGGTCTTCAGCCTGATTCAAGACCATATTTTTGACCAAGATGGTCTTCGTCCAGATCCAGACAATATCGACGCCATCAAGCAGATGCCACCACCACGGGACATAAATTTAGGACTTAGAGTTTATATTTTTTAGCGCCAGAAAGGCATTAACGATACATAATTAGGTTCATAAAAAATTCAAAAACAAATTTGACAATGTGCCCAGAAAAACGTACAAATTTGAAATAATGTACGCAGAAATTGCCCTTTTAGGGCAATATTTGGCGATGTTTTGCAGTTAATGGTGAGCTTAAAAGTAAGGACAGTTAAAAAACTCTTACAGTGAAAATGGAGCCAGAGTTCAGCGGGCCTCCATTTTCAAAAAAGTGTGTAAGTGAAAAAAATACTGCTTAGGAAGAAAAGACAGTGTACTAGAGTAGAAATAAGTGTAGGAAGTCTGATAATGATTAGTAGCAAATGAAACGGCAGCAACTTAGACTCAATGCGTCCACGTGGCTTTGCCTGATTGAGTGGTTGCTAGTAGAGACATTTAGGTTCCTGGGGGGCATGTGGCCGAGAAAAAGGTTTTAAGGGGATCTCCTAAATCCCCGGTGGTCCTTTCTCGGAATCATTAAAACGCTACGTGCTTTCTTGGATCTCATGGATCATTACTGCTCGGTCCTCCTGGCAATGCAACGCCTTCCTACCTATAAATGAACTATTCAAAAAAGATGCCAAGTGGTCCTGGTCGCGAGAGTGTCAATAAGCTTTTGAAGGAGCGAAACAAATGTTGAGCTCTAACTTGCTGCTCACGCACTTCAACCATGATCTGAAGATTGCCGTGGCTGCGAAGGCCTCATCTGTCATGCAGCAAGGTCACTAACGCCTGCTGAACGCAACTACCCCCAGTCCAACGGAGCGATTCGTCAATACCTTCAAACGGGCTCTCCAGAAATCAAATGGGGAGGGGATGACGGAAGAAGTTCTCGAACGATTCCTGCTGAACTATCGAGCCTCCCCGAACCCTAACACACCCAACGGTGTTTACCTCGCAGAAGCCTTGATGCATAGAAAGCGTCGCACGTCATTTGGCGTTATTCATCCACTGTCATCTGTCGGTTTCGTTGATGAATCAGCCCATCCGACGTCATTGGAAAGGCAATTCAACCGACGCCACGGTGCAATACAGCGACTGTTTCATCCGGGTCAAAGAGTACCGTAAAAGTCCTCTTCCAAACATCAAAGCTCATTTTCGCATATTTTCCAGGTGTCCTTTGATCAAGGCATCCTCCCATTTACTTGGAAACTAGTAA